TAGGGAAACAGACACAAACAGAAACAGCAAATGGTACCATCCTTACAATGAGTGGTTAAGTTAAAGGTTAAGTCAAAAGCCACAACAAGTCTCTATAACACATTTGTCAAAGATTACGTGATTTCTACTGGACTTCAAAGTGATTTATTGTTGTTTAAGAAAGGAGTTTGTGTTTTGCTTAAAATCAAATTAAGCGTGAAAATTCACAAGGTTCTTTAAGTTGAAGTACAAATGTTTTGAGAGTGAAGCTCATTACAGCTAAAGTATGAAATGACAATAATCCCAAAGTAATAGTCAACTCATATGTAAGTTACAAGTTTGAAGAAGTATTTGTAATTTAAACATAAGGCATTGAGTAAAATTTATCCAGACTCACAAGATGACTGACAAAAATCATGAGGAGCTCTATGCTGTATCACATACTGAAGTAGAAGGAAATGATGATGAGCAAATCCCAGAAACACAAACTGTTCATCGAAGTGAAAGAGTAAGAACATTAACTGAAGGGGGTAAAGAGCTTCAAGAGGAGAAACTCAAGGGCCTTAAAAACAAATACGTAGCCGTTTTTGAAAAATGGAAATGTGAAGCAAAACTGAGCAAATCGGCATTAGAGAGGGAGGCTTCTGAGAGCGAATTAAAGGAGCTGATTAAGGATGTGAACATCACCTGCAGAAATGTACAAACCATCTACGAACAAATACGACAAATACAACCTCCTGATGCAGACGCAAGGCGCAAAGTAGATGTATGTACATCACTTTCTGCATGTATTGTCAAAAGAGCTGAAAACCAACTTAAAGGACACCTTCCAGAAAGCGAAGAAGATCCGTGGCCAGACGTAGGGTCATGCCTGGGATCTGAAAGTACTACATCAAGGTCAAGATCACGAAGGTCTAAATGTAGTTCAAGTCAGTCATGCTCACAAATAAGCAAGAGACTGGAAGCAGAGGCCGAAGCAGCTGCATCTAAAGTATTGGCAATAATGGAGGAGCAAGAAAGGGAAACAGCTGAACTACAAAGGTTAGAACGTGAGAAGCTCGAAAGACAGCGAGTAATCGACCAGCAGAATCTCGAAGAACAGCAAGCAATGGAACAGCAGAAACTCGAAAGACAGCGAGTAATCGACCAGCAGAATCTCAAAGAACAGCAACTAATAGAAGAGCAGCACAGAAAGATTACACGCTTGGAAGAAGTTAAAAAACTGAATGCAGCAAAGGCTCGAGCAAAGGTTTACAATGAAGGTGAAGGTATTTCCGAAGGTCAGAGTTTACTATGCAGTATTAGAACAGAAAGCAAATTCCAAGCAATCCCTGTCGTAACACACGTTCCCTTTCAAGCTCTAAGTTTGACCCAAGTCCATAATGCCACAAGTCAAACACTCAAAGCATCAAGCCCACCATTCATCCCACAAGCCACACAAACTCACTTTGGATCTGTGCCGCACATTCCCGCAGTTATGAACCAAGCTCAACCAAATCCTGGTGACCAACTTGAGGTCACCACAAACCAAGCATTCAAAGCATCAAGCCCACCATTCATCCCTCAAGCTACACGAGTCTCCTCCGTTGCAATTCAACAACAGCCGAATTATGAGCTAGTTAGCATACTAGCGGAAGCAATAAATGCTAATCGTCTTCCAACTCCAGAACCTACATTGTTTACTGGCGACCCTTTAAAGTATAAGGACTGGCAGTTATCATTTGAAATCCTGATTGAAAGAAAAAACATTCCAAAGAATGAGAAACTTTATTATCTCAGAAAGTACCTCGGTGGACCAGCAAAGAGAGCAGTTGAAGACCTTCTCCTATTGGGCACAGATGAAGCATACGATTCAGCTTGGAAAGTGCTAGAAAAGCGTTTTGGAAGACCATTCACCATAGGAAAATGCTTTAGAGACAAGCTTAACAATTGGCCTAAAATAAACTCCAAGGATGGAAGTGAGTTGAGAGAGTTTGCTGATTTCCTTAAGACTTGTGAAGCTGCAATGTCACACGTAACGACATTGGAGGTTCTCAATGACTGTATAGAAATTCAGAAACTTTTGCTAAAACTTCCAGAGTGGTTGACCGCAAGATGGAACCGGAAAGCCATGAAAATGACAAAGGCTGGCGATGAAAAGTATCCATCCTTTCACATGTTTGTTGATTTTATATCCACTGAAGCTGACTTAGCTTGTGATCCCATAGCCTCAGCACAAGCTCTCAAAGGTTTGGAAATGAGTAAGCTCAAACACTCAGGTTATAGTATGTGTGGCTTGAGTTTGTTGTTAATGTTTTTGCTTGAACGACTTGGCTGCCTGTCTTTTCTGCAAAGGAAACGGTCACACACTCGATAAATGTTTCAAATTCACAGAAAACCCTGTCCAAGATTGTATCCAGTTTGCACAAGCAGAAAGGCTGTGTTTTGGATGCTTGAAGAGAGGACATCATTCGAAGGAGTGTGATGCCATGATCACATGCGAAAAATGTCAAAGGAAACATCCTACATGCTTGCACGATGACAAGTTCGTTGAACGTAAAGGGGTAATATCTGCACCGAGCGATAACACTCAAGATGAAGAAGAAGCAGACACTAAAGAAGGAGCTGAACCAGCAATCTCTAATAGAGTAACCCGATCTACTTCAAGCGCATTTACATTCTCTATAGTGCCTGTCTGGGTTTCATCAAAAAATCACCCAAACAAAGGTTTTAGTATATGCACTCCTCGACTCACAGAGCGATACATCCTTCATTTTAGATGAAGTAGCCCAAAATATTGACACGGATAAAGGTAAGGTCAATCTGCGACTGTCAACTATGTCTGCCAAGTCGACAGTAATACTATGTGACAAGCTGGTAAACATTCAAGTTAGAAGATATAAGCATGAAAAGAGAATCACATTGCCACCAGTCTATACGAGAGAGTTCATCCCTGTTAACAGGTCACATATCCCAACATCTGAAACCGCCTTAAAGTGGCCTCATCTTGAAAGGCTGGCGGACAAGCTACCTCCAATGCTCGAATGCGAAGTTGGTCTTCTTATTGGCTATAACTGTCAACAAGCCCTCTTACCACGCGAAGTTCTTGCAGGCAGAGAGAACCAACCTTATGCACAGTTAACCGATCTCGGCTGGAGCATAGTTGGTTGCGCATCTCAAGTTCAAAATCAAAAAGATGTTATCAGTACGAGTCACAGAATCATCGTTCGTGAAGAAACCCCTGTGTCACTACCAGCAGTTGAACCCAAGCAACATGTGCATTTTGTATGCAGAATCCAAGCAAAAGAAGTCAGTCCAACTGATGTGATAAAGACTTTGGAACCCGAATTTCCTAAGCACGCAACGGAC